TTTCAACTACACATTCTCAATCAATCTACTATTCTCAAATAAATTCTTTCAAAATAATGTGGTTCAATTTCATCTTTATTCTGAGTGTGACGAAGCATGCTTTTAATAGCTTGGATAAAATGGTTAAGGGCAAAGCCATTCGTACCCGGGCGTTTACTCGCCCGGGTACACGACCCCACCGCCCCCCTCACAATGAGGGGGGCCCGAGGTGAATAAAATAATGGAGCGGGCCCTCCCATTGTGTGTGGGAGCCGTGGGTCGGGTACACGGGCGTGTAAGAATAGTATGATCCGGGTATTGTTGAATTCGAGGGATTTTCAATAATTCTCCAGTGTAAGAATAGTATGATCCATGGTATTGTTGAATTCGAGGGATTTTCAATAATTCTCCAGTGTAATACCACCCTCATCTACCCACGCTCTTTTAAAGACCAACGGAGAAGAAGAGAGAAAAAGAGATATTGACATAGGAGGGAGTGAGAGAATGAGCATGGCAGCGACGACGGTGTGCGTGACAGGAGCATCAGGATACATAGCTTCATGGATCGTCAAGTTCTTACTTCAGCGTGGCTATACTGTTAAAGCCTCTATTCGTGACCCCGGTTAGTCCCCTCTCTCTCCTTTGGTTAGAAACTTCTTCTAGCTTTTTTGAACGATATCGTCTTTGATTTTAATTTTTTCATGGGTGTTTTGGTAAAGTGAAGCGTTTTTCAGTAAAATTGAGAGATGACAGTCCTCTTTCTCCGATTTTAACTCTTGATCCAGTTACGTTGACTTTACGATATGGGTTATCCTAATTTTTCATTGGGTGCTTGATTTAGATCCCATGTATTGTTATGTATCTTTTAGCGGAATCAAAAACATCCCCACTTCAGTAATTTATCATGCTTTTTTTTTTTTATATTTAAAATTTACTCATTAACTAAATCAAAACGTGACTCATATAGAAATTGAAAATAAATTGAACTATGTTTTGTAGTTTGATTCCATATGAAGTATTTTATTTTACTATATTATGTTTTGGTGAGGAAATCTATGGAATAAGTTCTGAGAAAATTATGTTCAGATCCTTTTGATGGATTAGGATGTAGCAAAATTCAGAGCTTTAAATGAAAAATGTGAATAATAACATCAAAGAAAGAATGGACTCGTATATGTAAAGACTTGAGTAAACAAAGTGCTTATTAAAGTGAAAGTCTATTTATTCAACCAAAAATTGAGACACAAAACGTAAACTTAGTAGGCACTATTGCTGTGAAGGAATAATAAGATTAGCTTGGAATACGGTAAAATGATCTAAAACTTACAGTTCAGCTATGTCGGTATTTGTGGTTGATCATTCATTGAGGTTAAACTTGTCATTCCTAGCAACTTCCGATCTTCATGACAGTTATATTGTAAGATTAGATTTCTACGCTTTGTATTTCCATAAAAATATTGATGCATTTGTTGAATATATATATATATGGAATTTGTGAATTCACCTGCAGATGATCCAAAGAAAACAGAGCACTTACTTGCGCTCGATGGAGCCAAAGAGAGACTTCACTTGTTGAAAGCAAACCTACTGGAACAAGGATCCTTTGATGCTGTGGTTAATGGCTGTGAAGGTGTTTTTCATACTGCATCGCCTTTCTTCCTTTCAGCAACAGATCCACAGGTTCCTACCTCATTCCCTTTTCATTCTTTTGGTTGTAGATTTTCTTTATGGCAGTTTTATGAGAAGGAGAGAGAAATGAAACTACAAGGTGCTCCTTTCAGTTTTCCACGGGGGTAATTGTGCTGTGCTCATAATCACAACAATGGGGTGGAATTCTAAATAATATAATGTCAAGTTATTTTGTCACAGAATGAAGAGAATATAATCCTTAAGAGATTCTCCATTCTTCCATTCTACCTTACTAGTTTTGTTAATTTGAACAAAGTTCTAAGGTAAAAGAATGATAATATCCAAAACTGACCATAGAAGTGCAGAACGGTTCAAAATTTTACTCATGTCAGAAGAACAAGTTCTTTCTTTGACTTGCCCAAAAACTTCTTCAATATCTATGTAACTAATTTTGTTAGCTTGAACAAAGTTTTAAGGTAAAAGATTGATAATATCCAAAACTGGCCATGGAAGTGCAGAACAGTTCGAAATGTTGTTTGGCTGTAGGTTAGCCTCCAGTTGCCAAATGATGCTGTATAATTTTTCGGGTTCTTGTCAATCAAATCAGCATAGTATTTATATTCATGTATGAGAATCATTATTTAATTTTTCCACTCTCTTCTTCAGGCTGAATTGATTGATCCTTCCGTCAAAGGGACACTCAACGTTCTCGAATCATGTGCGAAAACACCATCTGTTAAAAGAGTTGTTTTGACATCTTCCATAGCTGCAGTTGCTTACAATGGCAATCCTCTAACACCTGAAGTCGTAGTTGATGAAACTTGGTGGACTAGTTCGGATTTCTGCAAAGAAATGAATGTGTGTGCGCTATTCTTCAGCATTGACTATGAGATATGTACATCTTTAAATGAAGGCGTCTTTAATTATCTTTTGTGGGGCTTTTGTGGCCATTGACCATCGTTGTTTTGGCTTTTTATTCCCTGAGAACCAAGTTAATTAATTCATGGAGAATACAAATTTTCTACATTAAGTAATGATGAGGCTTTGGCATACAAAATATATTTTAAGTACAGGAACTCAATTAAAAAATTAATTATTTTGTAACTAGTAGTAGAAACAGTAAAGTAATAGATCGATGTGATGAATAGTAAATCAAATATGCAAACTTTGGGGACAGTTCTTTAAGCAGCGAACTCGTGAGAAATATCAGAGCTGGTAATCATGCTTTTTTTTTTGCCATAGAAAAACACGTAAAATATTTGTATTTAGAGCAACTCTGGTTGGACACTTAATTGCTGATATCTGCATGTGAGGAGATAGCTGCTCTATATCTGTTTCACTTGGTTTTCCATACTTAAAAGTTCTGTGTTCTTTGCTTCCATTTTTCATGTTATTTCTACTAGCTATGGTATCCAGTATCAAAGACATTGGCCGAGGATGCTGCCTGGAAATTCGCGAAAGAGAAAGGTCTCGACCTGGTCACCATAAACCCAGCTATGGTTGTTGGTCCACTGTTACAACCAACACTTAACACAAGTAGTGCTGCAGTTTTGAACTTGATAAAGAGTAAGTTCTACTTCCTGAACAATTAGGCATTAGACCCTCTGTTCTTTTGGTTATTTTTCCTCGAATGATTCAGCTATGACAGTTCTAATGTTTGTTCAACGATATTAAGCCTATGTTTGGGCCCCTGTTCTTCAAAAACTCATTTTCAACCACACATTCTCCGAAAAGTCACAATTCCAAAACTCATTTTCACCCAAATTTTCATTAAAATGGAGCAAACAAGGGCTAATATTCAATGCATCAGGTCATTTGTTTCTTTTGATTCAGACCAGTTCTTGAGAAGCTTTGATCAGTCGCTTCTATTTACTCATCCTATTCTCATAATCCTACTTTATTGCTGAGTGATGCTTAATGAGAAATTTCAGTGTGCACAATCACTTCCGCATGCGAATGAAATTAATGATTTTCACTTTAATATTTTTCTATTGAGAAGATTATATGCTAAAACTAGACAATTGATGACATGAATACTTGATGCAGATGCAGAACCTTACCCAAATGCCTCATTTGGATGGGTTAATGTCAAAGATGTCGCTACTGCTCATATTTTGGCATTTGAGAATCCTTCAGCTAATGGAAGATATTTATTGGTTGAGAGCGTTGCACATTATTCAGAAATTGTGAAAATACTGCGTGAACTTTACCCTACTCTTCCTCTTCCAGAAAAGTAAGTTTTTTATGACTCAATATCCAATGCTGGTTATGTCAACGAGTTACTATCTTGTGAAGGTTTAAATGTGCACGATGCTGTATGCGTGGTCGTGTGATTCAGCTTGCCCATATAAGAACTTGGTTGCATAAAAGGAAAAAAAGAAAATCCTATTTGGTTCACCATGCGAATAATTGGATTTATAATGTAGTGTTTGATTGAATCTCTAATTAAGTTTCCAAGCCAAAGAGGAGTTTCATGTAAGTTTTGTAAATCAATTGTGCTATAACCAAATGGGCTCCCCGAAGAGTAGACTTAGTTTCTTGAAATGTATCATGATTCTAAAATCATTTTATTTAAAAATGAAGTCTCAGTAATTTGGCCTCATATTTCCCTCAAAACAAGATAACGGCAGATATTCATGATCTTAAAAAGTTGATAACTAATTCCTTTTTGTTTCTCACTAGCAAAAATCTTTATAGCAATTTGTTGACTAATCCTTAGAATTAGAATGTAGGATCCAAATGCTCGATGTTAGTATTTCTTAACTTCCCACTTAGTAAAATAGACGTTGCACCCGGCACAAAGATGGATATGTGAATTCTTAAAGAAGTTGCCTGCCACTTGGAGTTTTGTAATCAGAATCATCAATACTTATGTCGGGATCAAAAGATTTTAATACACAATAGAGCTAAGTAGGCCCAATTTTTTCTTGTTTCAACTAGCCCATTTTTGGGCTGATCTTGAAGTATTTGAATTTGCTAACTTGAATTTAAAATAAGAAATCTGTACAAAAGTTGAGCTGATCGGTAGCTGAGGCGCAAGCCGAAATAGGCTTGATCCACTGAAATGTTGGGTTGGGAAAGTAATCTAAAAATGAAGTTTCCGTAGTAGTAACAATAACACTGTCAAATATCATCTGCAGGTGTGCCGATGACAAACCATTTATGCCAAAATTCCAAGTCTCTAAAGAGAAGGCAAAAAGCTTGGGTATTGAGTTCACCTCTGTTAAAGAAAGCATCAAAGAAAGTGTCGAAAGTTTGAAGGAGAAAAACTTTTTTGGAGCCTCGTCCAAGTGATTCCCCGTTTCTATTGAACTGTCTTTTGGGTTGTATGAACACCTTTTAAGTATAATACATTAGTCTAAATATATTTGTGTCCATCTTTATTATGCTACTGAGAGATTTGAATCTTGTGCTGGTGCTTTTACTTTCTGTAATAACCTCAGTGGAGGACCTTTTATATCTGAATAATAGTGTTTCCTCATGAATCTTGTGCTGCGTTCGTATTACTTAGTTTCTATCTATCAAAATTTACCCTCTGCTTCTTTTGCTTGAAATAGGATTGGGCTGGGTATAATCCGGTTGTCCCCAAAGTCTTTTTCAGTCGAGTGCCAAATAACGTCGGTGTTGATTGGGATGTCCTGTCCAGCAACTATCGTGATTATTTAAATCTGCCGATATTGAACAATATTAAGTGAAGGAGTTTGGCACTTGTGAGGTTCGTAGCCTTGTTCTTAAAGTAGTAGGATTCCCTAACTATCAATTTCATAAGAATAGAATGAATGAGGTATGAATTGAGGTCAGGCACTATTTCCATCAACCAAGCCAACCGAAAATCAGGTCTTTTAGAGTAGAATCTTTCAAAGAGGTTGCTACATATCTGGTCAATTGTGAGTTATATTATGTTAACAATGTTTTATGAGTAACTAGTTGGAAGCATCTAGGGATGGCGAAAAAAACTTGTTTAACCCGATGCTCGTGAGGTCCTGCCCCGAATGGGGCGAGGATTACCCGCCTAACTGGGTAAACGGAGCTGGGACGGGACGGGGTTCATTGCCCTGAAGCGGGTATGGAATGGGTACGGGAAACATAATCCTCGGCCCGCTACTCATCCCGTTTAAAGTTAATTTTAAATTTAAATTTTTTATCAAACAAAAATAATAGATTTATCATCATTTTTAAGAGAACATAAGTTGTTTTTAATAAAT